TTTCTGGTTGCGAGTCCAGAACATTTGGAGGTCCCACCGAGATGCCCTATAGGGGGCGCTATCGAGCCGGATCACTTTACCCCCGGCAGCCACCTGTCAGGGGGCTTATCAAGAAGATGTGCCTCGACCCCGACGGGCTTCCCTGCCTAGGGTAAAGACTAAATTATTTCTATTCGACTTGGAGCCGTTTGTCTTCTGACCAGTAAGACTTTGTTTATTTGTTTGTGGGGCGCCCTGTTTGGATCTCTCGGGCGGCAGACGTGCCTTTAAGTGCCGGAGAGACTTTGGTTTGGTTTTGGTTTGTTCTGCTGTTGTCTTTTCGTTGTTTGTTCTTGTTTTGTTTGTCTACATGGGTCAGTCTGCTTCTATGTCGCTTATGCCGCTTCAATGTGTACTAAATCACTTTTCTGATTTCAAACAGAGAGCCACCAGCTATGGTGAGCCGGTTTTTCCTGGCAAACTGCGAACATTTTGTGAACTTGAGTGCCCCGCTTCCAGATTGGCAAAGGAAGTGAGGGTGGCTAGCCTCAAATTAAACTCTGGCTTGTTATCACTAAACTTGGGTTTTGGGCTCGCTCGGGATATTCCACAGGCAGACCCCTGCTTTGAGAAGGGCCCCGGCCTCCGGACCCTCTAGCCCTTCTTGAATGGCTTGGCACCCCAGCTGATTTCAGCTTCCATTTGAGAGAGGCTAGGGACTGCAGGTCTCAGTCACGAAGAACAAAGCAGAGTTCCACACCTCCGACTAGGTCAGATTTTAATTGGCTTTTTGTAGAGACTGGGCTTGCATTTTCGGAGACGTGGGTCTCTTAAGTTGTAGCACCCAGACGTGGGTGGCACTTTGGTTTCTGCCCTCTCTGGGAGCCGGGAGAGGGGCCTGCGGCAGTGTGCTGCAGGAGCAGTGCAGCCTTCACCCTCCCAGCAGGAGTTGAGTGAGGGGCATGTTAGTCTTTCTGGCGAATGCTGAGAAAGAATTCGGCTTTTTGTTTGTTGTGTTTCAAGCCAGTCTCTACTTTGCATTGGCAAAAATAAGTCAGAGGAATATTAACTAAATTATCTTTCCCAGGATTTCGTAGAGTGTGTCGTCTTTGTTTTGTTTGTTTGCACTCTTTATTTTTTGTTAGCTCTGATGCGCCCGCCTTCTCCCATGCGCTTGCGTTCTAAGATTACAGTGGAATCGGTGGCGTGGGCTGCGGGAGTTTTAGCCATCTTCTGCCACTGGGAGTGGCTTACTGGGAAGCTTGGAGAAATTCTGATCCTGAGCAGCTGGTCTGTGCTGTCGTAATTACTGCAATAGCGTCGCATTACATTAGCTTTGTAATCCTGCTTGGTGTGTGGGCCAAACGAAATCTCTTTTGGGATTTCTGCTATGGGAAATTCCGACAGCAAGCCTACCATATGTACACCCCAGATGATCCAGAAGCACCTGAGCATGTCTGTACTCTCAATTTAGCCTTTGCAGCTCAGTCAGCCCCTGATATATGCTGAAAGTTACAAAGATTAGAAGTATTTGCAGGAAAGAATTTGACAGAGTAGTGGAAATTGCCCAGAAAGTGTTACACAATAGAGAGGATGCAGAATGGAAGTACAGACAGGAAAAAAGGAAGGTAATGTCAGCTACATGTAAGAAGGAGGTGCAGATTAGGCACAATGACAACGGAGGTAAAGCCGGATCCAAAAGGGGAAGCCATCGCCCCCGCTTGGATCCAGATCAGTGTGCCTATTGTAAAGAAAAGGGTCATTTTAAGAGAAAGTGTCCAGTACTGCTTGGTAAAGAGAGAAGAGAGAAAAAGAATGTGTTTGTGGTGGATGTGGTGGATGGGTCAGATTGACAGGGGCAGGGGTCCCTGTTTCTCAGCCCCAGGGAACCCATGCTAACAGCAAAAATTGAGGGAAAGCCTGTAAATTTTCTGGTTGACACAGGAGCTGACCTGTCTGTGGTGAC